CCAGCTTAAGTGAGACCAATGGAGTCACATGAGGAGAGACTGCGGCCTCCAGAAATGTGATGTTCCACCCTAAAATCAGCACCTTAGCCAAATGATGGGGCTTACTGCAGTTTGGAGGGTGCAGTATCCCCACAATGACCAAGTCATGGCGTTTAGCCATCCAAAAGCCTCTGTGTCAGATCTGTTGTAAATGCCTGTTGCATATGCTGTAGTCTCAGAGGAAGTGGGATGGCCATTGGCAGAGGTTGTCCTTTCCAAGCCAGGCTGCTGTTTTCCAGCCCTTCTCAGTGTGTGGTGCCTCCTCCCAGTCTCTCATCGCCTTCAAGCCTCACCAGCATGCTCCCACGCCGACCCACCACTGAATCTCCACAAAAGCACAAAAGTTCGTCAAAAGTCCAAGCTGTGTTGCAGCTGGCTCTCCTGCAGCCAACACCCCGGGCTAGTGGAGGGACTGGCTGCAGCCCGCATCCCTGGCCCTGGCTGCTCCTCCTCCTTGGCTGGATGGCCGCCGCCTGACATCACTGCCTGACTTCACCGGGCGGTGGTCCATGGCAGTGACCCCAGCCATGGGCATCGTGCCAGAGCCAGCTCTGTGCTCATCCAAGCAGGGCTGGGGGTCATTCATCACCACGCTGTAAGTTGTGCCAGCTGTGGGAATATAAATGAGCTTTTCTTCATTAGGGTGGTGAATGGGCTGGTCCCCGTGGACTTTGGGGAGCTCAGGAATGCTTTTGCTCGGTTGTGCTCTCTGACTGCCAAAGGGTGCAAGATGAGCTGACCCTCCTGCTCTGCATCCCATTCCTGCCTGCCCATTGGGAACGCAGACACTGTCCCTATATGCTGAAGGAGGGATTTTTAATTTCCTCTCTTGGTCAAAGATGCAAGTGCAGGCTGGAGAACTTGCCTGCCCATCCCAGGTTTTAGTGTGGGTCAGGAGTCGGGACAAACAGGGAAATACCGGCTGGAGACCTGAGCCCAGCATTCCTGCATAAAATCCAATCTAAAGAGAAATAGGTACATCTTTTACATTATCTGCAAGTATTGATGCTGGTTTCAGGGGCAGCACCATTGCTTCTCCTCTCCCAGCCACGAGCAGCCAAGGGAAGTTGCTTTCTGCTGCCCAGCCAGAAGCAGCAGCAGAAAGGATGGAGATGGAGAAATGCTGTTGTTCCCATGCTGAAGTTTAACTAAGATCCCTGTTGTGTCTTTCTTTAGCACCTTCCTGTTTAAATGGTGTATTATGTTAGTGTTTGTGCTGTAAATAGTAATAATCATGACAGTAATCAAGTAGGCTGTTGAGAAAGATTAGAGGCAATGGTTGTGCCTGTACTTCTTAGGTGCACATGGCTTTTTTTCCAGTTTTTGAACAGGACAGCAAGTTCTCTAGCAGTGGCCTGTGGATGTAATGAGCACGGATCATTAGCAGCAGCAGTCAATAGGTACTTTTCCTACCTTCCTGCCAGAAACCAATGGAAATTTGTTACAAAAATTCAAGCCTCCCAGTCATTTGGAAAACACTTCCTGCTCAGCTCTGCAGTGCAAATGGGCAGGGAGGCAGTGTTCTCACGCACCCACGTGCACACGCGCACACTGTGTCCAAAACCTCTGGAGCATGAGAGTGGCAGGGCTGGTTTGGGGCCAGGTGTAAGGAGATGCACAGGCTGTCCTGGGCGGTGACTACTGAGGACAGCAGAAGGAATTTGTGGCTTCCCTGTGACCAGTATTTTGCTGTTCTGTGTCCCTATTACACTGGAAGGGTGGAAATAGTTCCTGGAGGGAAGGACTGCTAGAGAACTTGTCCTGGCCAGCCCTGATGCTAAGTCTTCAGTCCCTAGGGCAGGGGACAGCCCACACTCAGCTGAGGGTACATTCTACCTCCCAGGGCTGATGGCAACCTGTACAAATTAGGACATCAGCAACACAGCCCTTCTGCTGACCTTACCCGTGCTGGAGCCGTGCAGGTTGGTCTCCAGCTGCTCTCTGCTTTTTCCTGGGTTCCTCCATGAGCACCATAGCACCAGGACCAGAAATGAAGTCATGAGGTGGCCCTGAGTTGAGTTCAGTCTCCTGCCTTGGCCACAGGGTCACCATCCCCTTGAGATGGCTGCAGCCAGAGTCCCACCTCCAAGCTAGCCAGTATTCTCAGCAGTGTCACTCTTCAGTGCGGCCATCAAGTCTACAACATCTACTGAGCAGTGACCTCCTCCTCAGGTCACTGTGTAGAAGGGATGACAGTGGTGAGACACACTCACCTCCTGCTGCCCATGGAGCTGAGACTGGGAGGTGTAGCCCTGCCTCTGCACACAGCCTGCCCACAGGCTGGGACCAGGTGTGAGGAGGTGCACAGGCTGTCCCCCTGTTGCCAAGGTGGATGGGAGTTGGCCCTGGCTGTAGACAAGGAGGGGTCACGCATCAGGCCTGATGGTGATGGCAAGGGAGGAGAAACTCCTGCCTCTTTCCTGAGTCTCAGATGCAATTAGGGCTCCTACAGAGAAACTGGGTGTTCTTTCCATCGGCATCTCCTTGGGAGCAGACACATAATGCTGACTGCTCTGTGCCTGCCCTGTGTGGCAGGTGATGGCTGAGGAATGAGCCAGTGGGTAAGGATGGGCTGGTAGACGATTCTTTGGAGATGCTGACATGGTCCCAGAGGCATGGAGTGGCTGCAGGTTGATGCAGGTCACATGGCTGAGGGGCAAGGGAGGGACTGAGGGTAGCCAGTGCTGCCCCAACTCTGACAATCCCTTCATGTTGACATCATGAAGGTCCCTCACCATCTGCCCAGAGCTTGTCAGGAGTTTGTATGTCAGGGACCTCTGCCCTTCAATTTGTCAAAATTGGCTTGTTAGTATCCAATTAGGGAACAGATGGACAGGTGCATGAGATTCAGCCTTGTTGCTGGAGGAAATTAGGTTAAAAATCACCAGAGGGCAGAGAAAAGGGATCTATGGAGTTCTCACTGGGAGATAAAGACCTAAACCAGGCACTGTTGTTTCCTCCATGGCTGTGTGCATTCCAAGGGAGTCAAAAGGAGTCTGTTCCATTTGCTGCTTCTGCTCTGCCGGAAGAGCTGGTTTCAGGTGGGAGCTGGGCAGCTTTCAGTGCTCACCAGCCCTCGCTTCCTCTGCAGAGTGCAGAGCTCCTTTGCTTCCCATCTGTCCTTGCCAAAAGGGCTCCTCCACGTTAGCCCCTGGCTCCCAGCCTGCTCTGGCTTTCTGGCAGCTTGCAGGAAACAGAGGAACAAGGTGTTTGCAGAAGCTCAAGTTGCTGACCATATGAGTGGACACAAGCTCCTGCAAACACCCATTGCACCACGGTTCCAGGGGACTGGACACTCTGTGCTGTTTCTCTGAATCCTCACTGCTGTGTCCTGTTTGTTATTTCAGGGCTGTCCAGGTAACCGTGCCTCTCTTGTTTGTTACTGCACAGGTACTGCGCAGGACAGCTGCAATCTGTTGTGTTCTTGTAGGGTTACCTGCTATGAAAGGGCAGCCCAGGAAGATGCCCTAGCAGTCAGTGCCAGGGGAGCTCCAGGGACAGAAGAGGCAGTATGTCATTACTGTGGGTGGGCTTGTTCACTGAGGATGTCTCATGGCTCCTTTCAGACCTTGGATTGCAGCAGCATCTTGTGGCAAAGTGTGCATTTCAGTTGCACTCTGTACATTCCCAATATAATCAATCTCTTCCCTATCCCCTGTCCATCATCTCCTTATAATAGGGGAGTGACCCCGAAATCCTGCAACAAGGCAAAAATATGGGCACATGAATGTCATGGGGCAAATTGGCAAGAGGATCCTGTCCTGGATATACATGTGAGTCCCAAAGATGATGGATGGGGTCATTTGTGCTGCTTTGGGTAGTTTGGAGGGTGCTGAGTCTGGTATGCTGATCAACCTCTTCCAACCTTGTGGAAGAATAAAGAAGAAAAAAGAGGCTGCTTTAGTAAATACGTGTCCATGGAAATCTTCCCAGCTTTGAAAAGTGGAGGCCAGTGACTGGCATGCACCCATGTGCAGCCTGATAGGGCAGCCATCTGCAGGGTCACTCCTGTCTGCCTTGTTGTTTCAGCCCCTCTGGTGCCTGTCATCCTGCTGCAGTGGCTTCTCCCGTGCCTGCCTGCTGGTCCCAGCACAAACCTGGCAGCATCAGTACTGGACTCCTGGGAACCACTGTCTGGGAGACAGCAGCCTCAGGAGATTTAAACCGTATTCAGATTTAGTCCAGATATAGCCCTTTTTCACTCTGGTGGCTGTACTAAAGGTCACAAGTCAGCTAAGTTTAGACTGTCATCAGCTCTCTCCTATATATATCCGAGTAGGGCTCCTGACTGCATCCATCCGGCGCAGGTCATGCTGAGGCGATGTGAGGGGGTGCACGGGGCCATGGGCAGAACCTAAATATGTCCTTCCCTTGCCCCTGGTATCATCATTGATAGCTATGTTCAGGCAGCATTACTCTGCAGCATTGCCTCTGGCTTTACCTGCATCACTGCAGGCTGAGGACTCCGGTCAGTGTCTTCAGCATCTCTGCCAGTGTGTCTGTCCAGCAGCATGGCAGCTTTGCTAATTGATAGTCCTTGACTTTGGAGTCATCTCGTCTTTTGTTCTTGCATCTGCAAGGTTGAGATGTGAGTTTATCATTTAATCCTCCCAACATTGCTAAAGAGGGACTTCTCCCCCACATTTTGTGTCCTCTCTGGTCCTCTCTGGATGAGGGATAACCATCCAGATAACCAGTCATTCTCTACTGAAACTGTGCGAATAACGGTGGCCTTGTATGTAAGATCCCATTCCAGACCCAAGCCCAGAAGACACTTCCCTGTCCTGAGCTTGGGATCACATGAAATACACACCAAATCCCAAAAATTGGGATAAAACCAGGGCTTGTAGGAAGGAGGTGGAGAAAGGCTTTCAAGGAGGGCATCCTTGGGCACAGGGTTGGGCAAGCAAACCCTTGTCAGCTGCTGGAGGCCTGACGGTTCTGTATCCCTTTCCTTCCAGAACGGGAATCCCGTGAGCATGAGGAGCCGACCACATCGGAGATGACGGAGGAGACCTATCCGCCCAAGGCCTACCGGCCCAAACACGGCCGCCTCTCTGACCTCAAAGCTGAGGCTCTGAAGAAGGACCGCCGGAAGAAGCTGACCTTGGCCAAGTTTGTGGGCATGGCAGAGAACACAGCACATCCCCGCGTGGTCATCCCCGAGCTCCGGCAAGAGTTTGAGCTGGTGGGTGCTGCCCACTTTGCTCCATAGAATGGGGGCTGTGAGAGGGCTTTGTGCCTCTGGCAGGGGGTACCGGTAGGGAGGGACCAGGGGACGTTTGCAGCTCAAGGCTCCCTGCCTAACATACTCTATTCCTCCCCCGCAGGGCCCTTGCCGCAGGCACATGGAGGCCTCCCTGCAGGAGCTGAAGAGCAGCCAGCGGATGGTCCCCCGCGCTGTGCATCTCCCCAACTGCGACCGAAAGGGATTCTACAAGAGGAAGCAGGTAAGAGCCCTCCAGAGGCAGGGATGCTCCCCACACAGAGAGGCTTTATTCTGTCACAACCAGATGAAGAGAACTGAGGTTTTTCTTCCACTGGGATAATGGGAAGACTGTAGTAAGCCTCTCCAGGCATGGTTGGTGGGGGTCGGCCTTGTTGGTGGCCCAGAGCATCCTCCAGCCTGAGTCTAGCATCGTGCAGGAGCTGGTGGGGTAGAAGGAAATGGAGAGGTCCAGGCTGGGAGATGGAGATGATGAAGTAAAAGAAGCAAAGCGCAAGGCTGAGCCTGACAGCCTTGCACAAAGGAGGCATTGGAGGGTGGTGGCAAGCTCCTCATCTCTGCACTTGTGTGTCTCTCCCCAGTGCAAGCCCTCCCGGGGACGGAAGCGTGGGCTGTGTTGGTGTGTGGACAAATATGGCATGAAGCTGCCGGGGACTGACTACCTGAGCGGAGACCTGCAGTGTCACGCATTCGACAGCAGCAACGTGGAGTGAAGTCGCATCCCCTCCCTCTGCCCCATCACCACCCACCCAGGCTCCCTTCCACCCTCCCCTCCGCACCTCCCTCTGCCCCAGGACTCCGATTCCTTTCATCTCATGTAAGAAGAATAAAAGAGAGGAAAAGAAAAGAGAGAAAGAGAGGAACAGAACAAAAAAGATAACTAAGGGACAAAGAAAAGGAGAAAGGAAAAGAAAAAAAGAGAAGAAAGGAAAAGTTAAAAAAAAAAACACAAAAGAAAAAAGAAAAGAAAAGAAAAGAAAAGAAAAGAAAAGAAAAGAAAAGAAAAGAAAAGAAAAGAAAAGAAAAGAAAAGAAAAGGGAAAAAGGAAAAAAGAAAAGGAAAGGAAAGGAAAGAAGAAAAGAGAAATACAAACCCTGAAGAGACTGAGGACTCGGAATCTACAGCAGTGTCTTGACAACAAGGACTCAGCAAGGAAAGGACAGAGCCAGAGACAAGCCAGCTTCGGGTGCTCCGCCGTCCCGCACCTCTCCCTGCACTGCCTGCGCACCCCTGCCGCCGAGCAGAGCCCATGCCGATATAGAAAGCTCTCCGAGTTGGTGATTTTCTGCTACGGGGTGCGGGCGGGGTCAATTTTTCATTTCTTTATTTTTGATTTTTTGTTAGCTAGTCATTTTCCAAAGGGTCTGGAGAGAAAATCTTGCAGCCATCAGCGTTTCCCCTCCTTGCTCCGTTCCTCTGGAGTTTCTTCCCTGTATCGCTGGGATGCATTCAAGTCAATCTTATCTCCATCCCAAATGACCACCCTGATCCAAGCAGATTTGGACCATGCTGGGAGGAAGATGAGGAGGAGGAAGAGGAGGAGCAGGATTCACTGCGCACCTGGAGATGAGCTGGGGAGGGACACAAATCTTCTGCAACGGCATGAATACTCCCCACTGTATTCGTGAACATCAAAAAGAAAGAATCCAGAAGGGAGACATACCCTTCTCAATGCAGCTCCTCTTGACTTGGGAGATCAGAAATCTGAGTTTTGGACAAGTGAGACTCTGAACGTCACCCAAGCGGGTATGGAAGTGTTTGTGGTGTGCATGCATGTGCACAGATGTGACTTCTCCTCCTTGCCTGGAAACAAGCAATTTGAGGGCTTCACTGTAGGCAAGCGGAGAGCTGCCAGACTGAGCAGGGAAGAGAGTTACAGAGGTGTTCCATCTGTGTCAGCTCCATGGATGCTCCATCACTCCCCAGAATGAAGCAGGCATATATTGGGACAGGGGGACTGGGGATTAAAACCCTTCACCACCCTTACTGACATGGCAAAGACCAACTATGGAGATTTTTTTTTTTTTTTCACAGCCAAAAAAGAATAGTTTGCTCCAGAGGGAAAAAAAGACTTTGTTTTGTCTTGGTTTTTTGTTAAGGCTGAATTACAGCCTTTCCCAGGGGTAGGAAAACACGAGGCTCCATCTTTTGCATTGCGGACACTGCTGACATCTGCCACGACTGACTCCCTCTGCCAACTCCCCAGCCTGCATTGAGCTCTGTGACAGGTCTTCAGGACTTGTAACCCAGGACCCAAATCCTCATTCAGCAACAGCAGCCACCGCAGTGCGGAGACCCACTGCCTCGGGTGTGCTTGGACAGCTGATAGCCGCCTTCCTGACTATTTCATTGGGTTTTTTATTTTCCGTGTTGGATTTTGGGACTCAATTTCCCATGACAAGGGTCTCTGTGGTGGCTGTGCTGGGAGGATCTCCTGCAGTAAAGATGAGTCATGGGGTCTGGGCATAATGGCCCTGGCACGTGAATGTGTACCTGGAGACATCTGAAGTATACATCTGATCTTGGGGGGAGGATGCAGCCAATGTGTCCCCCAGTGCTGGTCTGAACCTCGTGGGGCTGGATAAGGAAGAAGAGGTGATTCCCAATACCAGTGGGGCCAAGATGAGGGGGAAATGGGTGCTGAGGAGCTCTGTTAGAAGCTTCTCCCCATCACTGGTTCAGTGCCGTCACTGTAGTGTCCCATGGGATGGAATCAACCCCGTGGGCAACCCACAAGGATGCTTGTCTCAATGGAGAGCAGGACTGGATGGCCCCCAGATTTTGCCAACAGACTTCCATGAAAACCCAGTGGGGCACATTTGGAGCTGGGAGTGAGGTGCCTTCCCATGCTGAAAAGAAGAGGGGACTGCCACCATATGTGGATCTTGTTCCCCCTACTGAAAAAAAGAATGCAGGAATGGGGTGATGGGGTAGCCCCTGTGCCATGTTGCTGGAGGGGAGCTTGGGCCGGGGCAAATGGAGCAAGGTCGGATCGAGTTGGGTGGAGGGTGAGGTGGGGTGAAGATAGTGGGAGGTGGAGGAGCTGTGTCAAACCCCAAGGTCACAGATCACCATCAACGCTGTCTCCTCCCTCCTCAGATTGCCGGTCCCAGTACAAAACCCAGTGTTATAGGCCAGTACCACCTTCCCCAGTGCCCTACCTCCTTTCTTCTTCCCTCTCCTTCTTGCTTTTGTTTATTTTTGTTTGTTTTATTGTTTGATTTCCCAAAACTTGAAAGCCTTTGGCTGCAGAGAAAGGAGCCGTGCTGCCTAGGGGTGGGCAGAATGGGAGCGGGCAGAGAGTCAGCAGGTCCACAAGGAACGTGTATTTTGAGGTAAACTTACCTCCCAGGGGGGTGCAGAGCAATCTGGTGGTGGTCTCATGGCATGGCCACCATGGTGACACTGGGAGGGGGACACAGGAGGACTCTCCAGCCTCCCAGTACAAAGTGGGTCCCAGCTGTGGACTCACAGGCACCAGAATCCATTGGGTGGTGACAAAGCATCACCACTTCCAGCAGAGAGGCAGAGGGACCTGCTTTGTATTTTGTGGTGGGATAAGCAGAACAGACACAACCGGGAGCTGGGAGAGCTGCCGTGAGAGAGGCGCACAAGGAGTTGCTGGCCATTTTGCACGCCAGTGGCTGCATGGAGAGGAAAAAGCTGGAGCAGGGGTGAGGACAGTCCTTGGACCACATCTCCCATGAGGGATGTTCAGCAGCTGGGTTACCCCTTGTCTGTACTGCAGTGGCCTTCGAAAACCACTAGTACAAGAGCATTTTGCACTATTTCTCCGCTCTCTTTCTCTTCCCCCTTCTCTTTTTCTCTGCCTTCTCCATGAAAAAAAAAAAAAAAAAAATTGTTTTTTTTTTCTTGTTGGTGTTGTTTTTTTTTGTTTTTTTGTTTTGTTTTGTTTTTCCCAAAACGGAGCATTGTATATTTAACAACCGACAGCTCACCTCGCTTCCAGACAGCTGTCCTGGCCCTGGCGAGGAGCCCTGCTCACCGTGCCCCATCCCCAGCCCCGCCAGCCGCCCGCCACTGCCACCGGGACAGACGTCACTGCACACATCACCCACCGTTGTACCACAGCCGTTCACACACCAGATTCCGAGTTTCCTGCCTGTTTTGTTTTGTTTTTACCTTTAAGCAATACTCACTACACATTTTACGGTAGCTTTTTATAGCTTTACATACATACGGTAGCTCTGTTGGTTTTT